ACATTAGCTAATCTCAAATATAATTGATATTTCTTATCAAATATCCAGTCAATATGAGGAGTTATACCTAAATACTTTTTATTATCAGGAGTACCATCATTCCTCACTGTCTTCCAAATTATTTTTGCTAACGATTTGGGTCTCATCCTGTAACTCTGCCAAGCCTGTTGGATAAGTTTAGCACTGTGAAATAAGTGATATGCAACAGTTTTTCTACCTTCATGTGAATAATTATAACCATAATGATTCAAGCCTCTACTGTACATAACCAAATATGTTAGATAAATCTCTTCAATCTCATCAGAACTAAGCGATGCCACTTTTCCTTCTTTTTTCGTATTCCTTTGTACATGATTATAATGAATTTTAGCGGTAATACATTTATTCAGGTGATCATTAGCACATTCAATGGTATTTTTACGAATAATTACCAAGGAGTCGCATACAGTACAATAAATATTAAATAAGTGGATCTCAAAGAGATCGCATCTCCTAGCTTTAAATTTCCCATCTATATATTCCCTTTTAACCATTTGGATAAATCCATTTTTTGAAAAGTATTTTGGGTTATATTCAAGAAGTTTCTTAAATAGAGAACGAACACGAGAACACTATATTTCTGGTATTTCACCATTATACCTATATTGCAGGTTGTTTAACGCCTGCACTACTACAGGACTCAAATCATTAAATTTAGCCATTTTACAGATATAGGATAGCAGTTTAGTGATTTATAGCGTTTTTAGCAATTTTAATGACTTATAGTGATTTATAGCAAGTATATTATAATAAAATACCAGATTCATTTTTATTCGATTACAAGCATATCAGGAGGTTTATATAAAGTCATATATCTCGGCTATGCTAATTCCTTTTTTCTCATATTCATATATAAGGGATTTTCCCGATGTCATAATTCGGTTAAATCAGTTTTAGGGTAATATAACGGCTAAATTATTCTCAGATCTATTAATCAGAGATGTATGACATATCATATCACAGGAGTTCTATGACAGTTTCCTGGCACTATATGCACTTTTCATAATTTTATGCTAATCATTTTACAGATTCCGCGCAGGAAAACTTTTTTGAATTTTCAGATAAATGCCTTTCCGGCTAAGAAATATAAAAAAATGGCTAGGAAGATAGCATTTGAAATAAATGATGCCCATAGAGCCATAAAGACTCTAAGAGGGTGAGAGTACTCAGTTTCTAAGCAATAAATGAGAGTCCCCAGCATCAAGTCATTTTTTTGCTCTATTGTAAATTTCTATACTAATTATTTTTTTTCCTATTACTATTGCTAACTACTATTATTACTATTACTACTGCTACTACTAGAATCTTTCCTCCCTTTTCTTTCAACCCATTCTTCGATTTTATCTAAGGAAGTAGTCCTCAGAGTTTTTTGTTGGCGGTAGAAACTCGCCAAAGTCATGGAGCTTAGATGAATTTCTTGAGAAATTACATTGTATAATTGTGTGTGGAAGCGCCCCTCTCTCCTTTTTCTTTGATTAAATAAGGCTGTAAATTCTACCCATAAAGTTTGGACTTCATCAGGATATTTCGAATATTGGCTGGTAAATATATGACTAGAAGAGAATCTAAATGATAAATAATAAAAGTTAGTACCTATTTACCCTTGAGGATATATGCAAAGACAACTAGGAAGAGCAGAATATTTCTTACCTTGTAATACGCGATCCCATTCTGTCTCTCCTTTTATTTTTTATATTTCATTATTTAATGCCAATATTGATTTTTCAAGTTTGGCAATTTGTGGGGTTGGAGTCGGAGAGAGATATTTGCGTAAAAATAATACGCCCTCTGTAAAGATTATGTACATTATGACATTCCCTGCGAAAATACCTTGGAGTGCCTCTATTGTTAGGACACCCTAGGTTAGCATCTCATAGATTACAATTACGTTGCTGAATAGTACGATTAAAAATATATCAGAGTTTGAAAGCATTTTGCGAAGATAGAAGAGAAATTGGTTCAAGTGATTTTGTTAGAGTTTTTGAGAGTATGCCATTTCGATTGTAAATGCGTGAAAGTTATTTGGCCTAATTTTTTTTCTTACTAGAAACGGTTCTCCTCCAATATACACAGTTTTTATAATTAAGACCCTTCCACAGTTAAGAGCTACGATCGTTGCAAAATATGAAAATCTTAATATCCAATAATTTGTCGATCCTAATTTTCAAAATAACTTGCATTAGTGTATTGCTCTCGAGCGATTAGCGGAATATAGTATATAGGGATAAGTCATTACCGGTTAAGAGATCATATGCAGTGTTAAAATTCTTTTATTTTCGTGTGATATGACTATATCTTAAGGATGGAAAACGATGCAGGGCTGAAATTCAGAAATAATTTTACTTTACCCGTCTTGAAAAATGTCAGAACTATTCTATGATACATGGTATTTCTATGAGGACAGATATCCATGCTTATTTTTACTTCGCTTGAATGGTACCCCTTGTTCTTTATTAATCCTATCACTACACCTAGGTTCCACATTTCTCTGAATGGAAGACCATGACATTGCATTCATGAAACTTCATTTAAGGGATTTAAACCCCTTGGACTTTTCTCTCTCAGTAGGGTTCTGCAGTAATTTTCGAATCACGATTCGAATCATCCTATCAAAATAAAGATTATTTAAGCCTTTCTCGCAACTCGAATCCGGGAGCGAAATGCTCCTAGTCAAATCAGATTCGGAACCATATTTCTCGATAAATATCAAGGATCAAAATACCGTAAGTATTATTCGGTTGATGGGATTGATGATAGATGTGATGGATGTGATGGATGTAAAGGTGATTAGCTTCATTTGATTTAAGCAATAGAAGGTTCAACTAAAAACTTACCTCTTCCTGTTCGAAGTCTTGGAATCCTGGTTGCTTCAGCTTTAGTGAAGATATACCCACAGACTTGGAATTGCCAGCATCACGAAAAATCAGGATCGGAAATAGCGGAAAAAAAAATCATCATAGAACTTTCGATACAATTGCGGTGATATATATGTCAGGTGAGTATGGTGAATGACTTTTTTATTTCGTATAATAAAAGCTCTTGGTTGCATAATAAACAGGGATCTACTTCTGAAACATCAACACCTTCTGAAATCTTTTCCGCTCCTGCCTCACATGTTCCACTACCCTGTGATGATCGAGAGAAATTCGTCTATCATCCCATGTCGAGAAACTATCCTAAAAAGAATTTTTCTTTTATAATACAAGGTAATACTTAGTTGGATGAATCTTCCTCCGGTCTCGAACTTGCAATACAATAAGAATACAATACTTACCTTCCTTTCCTAAGGCCTCGCTTTAACATTTCGAAAATGAGATTATTCCGGGAAAAATTAGTCTATTCCAGAATCATCTATCGGAATAAAAAAAAACAATGTATACGAATCTTATGTCGCACAGCCCCTATTCTCCTAGCCAGATACCGGAGATATAATAGGACTCATCATTGGTGAGGTTTTTCTTTCGTATCTTCCATCGTGATAATAATAACCGCCATCATATCCACTGTTTCCATCATATCCATCATCATCTGAATCGTTTGGCATCTCTTCTTCGGAATCATTGTCATGACTACAGTCACTATCATCGTCTGTCTTATCTGATTGCGAAACAACCTCTTCAATCGTTTCTTTCACCGACTGATCATAATCAAATTCATCATCAAAATACACGTTATCATAGTCTTTGGTTGAAATTAGAGTGATATTCTACTCGCCATTCTTGAAAAATATAAAAAACATGAACAATGTTCATGATCGAGAAGAAATTACACAGAGTTTGAACCGTGTTGAAGTCGAGATGAAATGTGGAAAATAAAAAATCAACTTATTATCTGCACTAGGATTTTGTATCGGTCGAGATAAAAAATAATACTTTATGATGCTGTATATTTATAATTCGTATAATAAAATAAAAATTACGTGATGAAATTGCGGTGAATATAAGCAATATCTCACCCATATAGTTGCGATTAAAGCGAAACTTTATTATGATATAAAAATAGTTTGTAGCTAGAGAGTAAGAAACATACATATAATTAAAGAGATAAATCTTTGTTTACGGACTATATAAGTTAGAAAGCAACCTCCTTCCCTTTACAATGGAGTGGGCATTCTAAACATACTCTTCTTATAGGCGAAACAAATCGAGTCGTAATTTCATTAACACGTCCTGATGTTGGCAATGTCGCTTGCCGTGTTGAATGAGATATCTATTACAAAACGACGAAATTAAATAAAGGAAAAAAAAAATAAATGCATGACAAAAAGATGTTTTTAATTCAGCTTACGGGTTTTCTCTCCTCGTTCATTAACTGAAAACGATTTGTCATTTCACGAACTGACGAACCACGCCTTGGAGGCATAGGATGATTATTATTGTACGGTCTTTGTGGAAAAGGCCTATCTCTCGTATCTCTCGAATCATATGATCCTTGATTTTGCGAGGGGACATAATCATATGATTCATAATCATCATCGACATACTGTTTCGGAGATGGTGAAGAATAAGATTTCGGCGGTGATATTGGAGGCGGGTATGTTGGTGGAGGCGTTTGTGAAACCTATAAATACGATTAGCGCTTATGTTGAATAAGTATGTGCAAATTTAGGATA